TATATATATATATATATATATATATATATATATATATATATTTTTTTTTTTTTTTTTTTTTTAAAACCTTCCTGTGATTTTATTTTTCATTTTTAAAGTGATGTGATGTTTATCAGACCAAATAATTTNTCACAGTATTTCCTATCATTTTTTTTCCCTCTGGAGAATGTCTTATTAATTTTAGTTTGGTTGGATTAAAAGCCATTTTCAATAAAAAAAATTATAATAATAAAAACAAATGAATAAATAAATAAATAAATTAAATATTATTAGCCACATTTTTTAAATACATAAAAATAATTTTAATATAATAATATTTTATTTATTTATTTATTTATTTATTTATTTATTTATTTATTTATTTATTTATTTATTTATTTATTTATTTATATTTTATTTTATTATATTATTATCCAATTCTCATGTTTCCTTCTACCATGTTCCATCTTTAATTGAACAATACCTGAAAACCTGGCAGTTTTACACACAAATGTAGGTTCACCGAAAGAAACGGCCTTTGTATCATTAAAATAAATGTAAACATATTTTATATATTATTATATATTAAATATATTATTTTTCTTGTTAGTGTCAAAGATTCACATGAACTTTGAGTAGATGCTAGCCAATCCCGTTTACACAACACTGGAAAAATAACGTGATTGGCTATTATATATTATATGCAGCGTCCTGTATTTATTCTCATAGGTAAGTTTTGTACTTTGAGGGAAAATGTGCTTAATGCATTATAAAGCTTAAAGCATTAGAATCGGTGCTCGGTATCAGCTGCAAAAATCCTGATAGCAGCATCCCTAATCACAACACAAATCCATTAGGTTCACTTCATTGCTTATAAAAAATAGAAGTGCATTGACGTATAAAACAATTTAAACAAGCTCGTCCCCAAAAACTCTAAGAATTGTGTTGTTTCAACTCATTTTAAATAAGTAGTATAGATTTAATTCTCATAGAAACAATATCAAAAAAAAAAAAAAAACACCTGAAGCTGATAACACTTTACACCAAAAATAAAAACATGCCAGAGCACTTGCAATAGATCAGGATCATCCTGTTTTTTTTAGTTTTCTTTTTTTTTTTTTTTGGTCCAGAATTGAGCAGAAGTGAAGAAGCAGGATCTCTTGCAGTCAACGGGATGCTGAAACACCATCGATTTGGCCAGCGGGTGGAATAAACTCTAACGTGTTAAGTCTGAAAATGGATTTTTAAATATGTATTCATTGATTTTCTCCTCTCTAAGTGTTCCGCTGTGACGTGTTATTTTGCAAAACAGAGGGATATGAAAAGAAGTATAAAGCAGTTTGCCTTCAATCGTATTAATTAAAGCTCAATATTGGAGCGTGAGTCAGCGGTTCAGCTTTTACCGTCCTCCAAACTGAGAGCGATGACAATAATAATCAAATCAGCACGCAGAGACGTCTGTTTGTTCTGCGTTTGGCTCTAGAGGTTACGCTGACATTTATTCTGATATTGTATAGCTTTTAAATAATTATTGAGAATCACAAGCAGAAAAGTGCAAATGATATTCATCATAGAAAGTCGATGCTAATGCCTTTATATTCATGCATCTGGCAGATGCTGATATGCAGAATGATTTGCATTGCATTCAAAGTGTTCACGTTTAGAGAACGCATGTTTTCTAGGGTTTTGATTCATGACCTTGTGTTGTTAGAGCCGGTGATGCTCAGGTCACAAGTTCAGTTGTATTGCTCAATGTATTACAAGTGTTTTTAAAAGTCCAAACTGTTTATTAATGTAGTACACAACCAAGTACATGTGGTCAGAACACAAACAAGTCACAAGTAATGAAGTATTAAGCGTTTCCCCCAAAGAAAAACCTGTCTAAGCAAAATGCTATAGCAGGCATCTGTAGCTCCACTCAAGCTCCGCCTCTTTGCCCTTTTATGGTAACCCCTGGTTGGCGCAATGATGTGCAAACAAAATGTCGACAGTTGGCCACGCCTACTTGTAGCTTCATTTGTGCTCTTCAGAAACCTATGCGTGACGTCACAGATACTACATCGATATTTTTTACAAGCTATGGGAAACACCCATCCACTACAGGCAATTAAGCTTATTCAATTCACCAATATATATACTATCTGTATATAGTTTTTCTACGTATATATACATATGTGTGTATGTATACTACTCCACCCCCCCTTCTTTTCTTTTTTTATTATTTTTCTTTTACTTTATTTTATTTATTCATTATTTTTTTTGATGTTATGTCATGTTTTTGGATGTTATGTAAATTATGTTTTGTCTTCTAGTGTTGTTATTATGTGATTGTGATTAACTTGTGGGACCCCCTTGAAAATGAGATGGCACATCTTAAGGGGTTCATCCCAATGAATAAATATCAATAGCGCATGTGTTTAGACTGTGGGGAAAACCGGAGCACCCAGAGCAAACCCATGCCAACACGGGGAGAACAATGTTACTTATAATAAAATAAAAAAAATAAAAAACATAAATTCCTAATTTAAAAACATATAATACACCTGAGATTGTTATACTTAACACTTTATAATATTAAATATTACAGAATTTAAACGCAAAAGAAAATAAGTCAAAGAAAAACCTTTCTTATTGTTTCCCCCTGAACTAATGCGCAGCAGGAGTCTAATGTGAGCTCGCATGCAGAATGTGTAGTCCGGCTGCTCTTTCTGGCACATTTCTGTCCAGCAGCTCATAAAACACGCTGCTATGAAATCCTGAGACAGATTACAGTAATAGGTAATGTGAGGGATGACATTTCTAAAATAAACAGCTCCATAAATCGCTGGTAAAACCAGAGGAATGTGTGTGTTCCTGCCTTCATGAGAAAAACCCACCACTCATTCATCACACACACATGTACATTATGAAAACACAGAGCGCATATATTTGACTGTGATTATGAGTGTAATCACATTAACAATCACTGTATTGTGTTGATATGAGCATCATCTTGATCATGCAGATTATATTGTAGAGAGAAAAATAAAATATATTTTAAATAAAATAAAATGTATATTATGGAACAGCAGTCAAAGTTCTAACACTTTATTGAGACATAGAGCTCTAGTTTAACGATCTAGGTGCAAAGTCTAAAGCACATGGTGCAAAAGCACTAGGTTTGAGCCCCGACGAATGGTCTAACAGGGTTGTGCTAATTCTCTTAATGAGTTCCGGGTGTGTTTTGAGAATAACATGCATTAAACCAGTCAGAGTCTCATCTTTCATTCCCTTTAAGAGTCAGTTGCGTCACGCCATGGTGCACTTGCTATTTACATTGTGGACTCTGTAACTGGAAAAACTGAGCGCTTCACTAGCAAGAAAACAGTTAAACAGAGCATCTGCAGCAGGAGGATAAATAATGAGCCTCCTCCATTCGGCCTCTTTATTTTACTCTTTAATTTACTCCTTTTCTTTCATGGATGAGAAAAGTTTATAAAGTTTATAATGTATTTTTTATTTAAATTGTTTTGTTAATGTTCATGCCTTTCTGAAAATAAAATAAAATAAATTAAACAAACAAACAAACGAACAAATAAAAAATAAATTAAATAAGACATATTAAAATAAAAATAAATACTTAAAAAATAAAACATAAACTAAAATAAAATGTTTAAAATAACATAAACAAAACAAACAAACGAACAAACAAAACTTAAAATTACATAAAAATATAATGAAACATAATAAAATTTATTAAAATAAAACACTTATAAAATAAAATAAAACATATAAAATAAAACTAAATAAAACTTAAAAATGCAATAAAACTAATTAAAATAAAATACATAAGATAAAATATATAAAATGAACAAACAAACATCAAATAAATAAAAAAATATTAATTAAAACAAAAAATAAAACAAAATAAATCTTTAAAAAATAAAATATACATTAAAATAAAATAACATCAACAAACAAACAAACAAATAGACAAACAAATAAAACACACAAATTAAATAAAAATAAATGAAACATAAAATTAAATACATTAAAATAAAAAACATAAAATTTAATTAAATTAAACATATAAAATTACATAAAATAAATAAATAAATAAAACTTAAAAATACAATAAAACAAATTTAAATAAAATCGTAAAATAAACTATAAAAAATAAATAAACAAACAAACAAATCAATTAAATACATAAAACATAAAATAAAACATATAAAAGTAAAATAAACTAAATTATTTTTTTGAAAATAATATAAAACTAATTTAACTAAAACATATACAAAAAACAATAAATAAATAAATAAAACATAAAGAACAAATAAAACATAACAAAAAATATATTAAAATAAAAAAGGAAATAAAATGAAAATAGAATACATAAAAAAATAAAATAAAATGAAACGCATAATATATTACCCTGCATAAACAAAGCAAATAAAAATCTCGCCAACCCTTTCAAAACATTCTAAATGATTTTATACATCCCTGAGCAATGCTAATGAGCTCGACTCTGATCTTCTGCTATGAAAACACAGAAACTCATCATCATATTTCCATCCATTTTTCCCCTTTTTTCTTTGGCCAGTTGCTTTGCTCACCTGATTGATGTGCTTGAGTTTATCAATGACTTGATTGATCACCGGATCGGCCTCCTTCACTTTGACTTCTGGGTTTTCAGCCTGCGCTTTAATCCCATTGCCAACCACTCGCAGAGTATAGCTATGAAGACAGAAACAAGATGAAGAATGAGAGATGAGTGGGTGTCTTTTTCTGGACTCCTTTCCCATTTTTTTTATTTTTTTCAGTGCAAAGGCGATTGAAGCTTTGTTGTCGGCTTGATGAGGAAGGCCTTACATGAACCGACTACATTTATCAGCAGAACAAAGAAAGAGGCGTAAAGAAAAGGGTCTGAGACGGCCGAATAACTCAAGCCCAGGCCAGAGAGAGACAGATTGGGGGTTTATGTGGGCCAGAATGGATGGTGCTCTGATAAGACGCAGTGGCGCAGAGAAAAACACCGCTGACAAATGACATGAAATATTACAATCCTTTATGGGTGAATTCCTTTTACACCAATGGTAAAAATCAGCCGTCCTGGTGAGATTCACCTTGAGAAGGACACATAAGAAAAAGAAAAGTCTGGTTGAATGTATGGGCAAATGGGAAAATGTGCAGCAGGGTCAGGTAATCGACTTTGTTTATGGGTCATAAAAATATGTTGATAGAACTGGGAAAGCTGTGAATACTGGAAACTGGCTGATAATATTTTAGAGAAAAGTAAAGATGCATGGTAAAGATTAAAAGCGGAAATTTAAGGTGATCTGAATGAACAAATATAAGTAAATAGTTTAGAATTTAATTATATTTATTAACATTAATTTATGAAATATTACTTACTACTGTTGTTGCTGTTAATATTTTAATGCAAATAGGAATCACATTTTATTATTATTATTATTATTATTATTATTATTATTATTATTGTTGTTGTTGTTGTTGTTGTTGTTGTTAATATTTTAATGCAAATAGGAATCACATTTTATCATTATTATTATTATTATTATTATTATTATTATTATTATTGTTGTTGTTGTTGTTGTTGTTGTTGATGTTGTTAATATAAATATATATATATATAGTATAATATAAAATAAAGACTTCAGACTAGACTCAGACTCAAGGCTACAACTTAAAGACTTCTTACTACACTCAGACTTAAGGCTACAACTTAAAGACTTCAGACTAGACTCAGACTCAAGCCTCCAACTTAAGGACTCCAGACTAGACTCAGACTCAAGGCTACAACTTAAAGACTTCAGACTAGACTTAGACTCAAGGCTACAACTTAAAGACTTCTTACTACACTCAGACTTAAGGCTACAACTTAAAGACTTCAGACTAGACTCAGACTCAAGCCTCCAACTTAAGGACTCCAGACTAGACTCAGACTCAAGGCTACAACTTAAAGACTTCTTATAACACTCAGACTTAAGGCTACAACTTAAAGACTTCAGACTAGACTCAGACTCAAGCCTCCAACTTAAGGACTCCAGACTAGACTCAGACTCAAGGCTACAACTTAAAGACTTTAGACTAGACTCAGACTCAAGGCTACAACTTAAAGACTTCTTACTACACTCAGACTTAAGGCTACAACTTAAAGACTTCAGACTAGACTCAGACTCAAGCCTCCAACTTAAGAACTCCAGACTAGACTTAGACTCAAGGCTACAACTTAAGGACTCCAGACTAGACTCAGACTCAAGGCTACAACTTAAAGACTTCAGACTAGACTCAGACTCAAGGCTACAACTTAAAGACTTCTTACTACACTCAGACTTAAGGCTACAACTTAAAGACTTCAGACTAGACTCAGACTCAAGCCACCAACTTAAGGACTCCAGACTAGACTCAGACTCAAGGCTACAACTTAAAGACTTCAGACTAGACTCAGACTCAAGGCTACAACTTAAAGTCTTCTTACTACACTCAGACTTAAGGCTACAACTTAAAGACTTCAGACTAGACTCAGACTCAAGCCTCCAACTTAAGGACTCCAGACTAAACTCAGACTCAAGGCTCCAACCTAAATCTTTACATTTGACTAAACTCCCGACTCCAACTTAGAAACTTCAGGCTAGACTCAGACTCAAGACTCAACGTTTAATAGGAAGCTCTATGATATTAAATGTGTGCGCATACATTAGATTACTCAAAACTAAAGCCAAATTTGGAGCTAATCTAACAAAAGAACTTACGATAACAATCCAAAAACTAATACATTCAAATGTATATGTCATAGAAAAATATTATACACAAATTTAAAAGAGGAACAACATGGGATGTACTCAATCATGCTGAGCACTGTATATGTCATTCCTTTGGCTGTTTGCAGTATGTTTTGAATTGTAAAGTGATATAAAAAGAGATTCCCAAAACAAACTACATGGCTTGATTTTAATATGTTCGTTTTACATCCTACACTGTGTACTTTTCCCATTTATAGACTGCATAATATTAATTTGAATCGTTATTATTGAACCAATACACCATTTTATCGATGTACTCCAACACATCTGCATCTGTTGCCTATTTTTATTCCCCAGTCAGATTTCAGACGGGAATATGTGTGTTTATAAAAGCAATTACAGTTCTCCAGAGCTCCAGAGAGCCTGTTTTGGCCATAAGAGCGTATAGCTTGTGTTTTATTGGAGACGAATGAAATGCTTTTGATTGTGATATGGCTCTTATGTCAGCCGCAGTTACATTTCTCATTACGCGGATCATTTGGTGGGTGTTTTGTTGAGCAGTAAAATGCGTAATGAGCCGTCGTGCGCCGCCGCAGTGTAAATTTGTAAAGTTTTATGATTGATGCCTTTCAAAGGACAATCCCGCTCATGTGTATGCACACCCACACCGTCCCATCCTTCACAGAAACACTTTCTTCGAATTATCCATCTCTGGCTCGACGAGCGATTGAAGAGCTTGGTGATTGAGCGAGGTTTGCTGGATTTCTGCGAATGCCGTCTGTCAGTCCTTGCCAGATAAATACTATCTCTGATCTATTTTCTCTTTTGCAAAAGCGAGTGTTTTCTCAGTCGGCGGATGGCATGTGCATGCACGGAGGAGTGTCGCGCATGTTGGGACTTTTTTTTTTTTTTTCATCATCCGACACCTTTTAAAAGGCAGCTCCGTGTTCCACGGCTGTGTGTCTCCCTGCGAGACTCTTCCGTGAGCGTGTTATGAAATATTAGTGAAGCTTCTGCAGAGCGGCCCGGTGGCACAGTGAAAGATGGCTTTTAAATGGAGAACACACACACACACACACACACACACACATTCACATTCACTCTCTAGCTATGGCTGTTCTTCAGAGAGCGCAAGCTGGCAGGATGTTTTTTTGAAGTGTGTTCAGCAGCGTGTTTGCAAGTGACCTGCATGCTGATGATTCAGGATTAATCAAGTCAGACATGGAGTGTTAAATGAGCACCTTCCAAGTGTTAGACTCTATCAAAGGGAGAAGTGTTATATCTGCTCTTTATGGCTGAAACATTTAGTCAACGTTATTGACATCATTTTGATTTGGTATGACCTAATGTGAGGGCATGCAGTGACATGGGTCGACCAGCTGAGGGCTGCAGAACAAGATTGCAAGTACATTTACATTTGCATATAGCAGACGAATTTATCCAAAGCGAATGAGTAAGACCTCCTGGATTGTAGACAAGGCACTTGTGAGAATAGCTAAATTACTTTTGATTTTTTTTTTTTTGCCTGTTACTAGCTAAATTATTAGACTACTCTCAAGACTCTAACTTAAAGAATTCAGACTTGACTCAAAATAAAAACTCTAACTTAAAGGCTTCAGTCTAGACTTGACTCTAGACTCAGAGTTCAGACTTGACTAAAGACTTCAGACTCGATTCAGACCGCAGACTCCAACTTAAAAAATTCAGACTAGAATCGACTCTACATTCAAAGAGACTTCATTCAATTTCAGACTTGTCTAAAAATGTCAGATCAAAAGACTTTAACTTAAATAATTTAGATCTGACTCAGACTCTAACTTAAAAACTTAAGACTTGCCTGGACTTATGACTACAACATAAAGACTTCAGGATAGACTCAAACTCAAGACTACAACTTATAGACTCCAGAGTAGACTCAGACTGAAGACTATAACTTGAAGAGTTCAGACTAGACTCCGACTACAAAGACTTTAGACTTGTCTTGACTCAAGACTCCAACTTAAATACTGCAGACTTGTCTCGACTAAAGACTAAATGACTCCAGACTAGACTCAGACTCTTAAATCCAACTTAAAGACTTTAGACTAGACTCAGAGTCAAGGCTCCAACTTAAAGACTCCAGACTAGACTCAGACTCAAGGCTACAACTTAAAGACTCCAGACTAAACTTTGATTCTAGACTCCAATTTAAAGACTTCAGGCTAGACTCAGACTTAATACTCCAACCTAAAGGCTTCAGACTAGACTCAGACTCAAAACTATAACTTAAAGACTACATATTAGACTTAGACTCAAGACTACAGACTTGTCTCAAATCAAGGCTTAAACTTAAGACTTAAAACTTTGGACTTGACTACAACTTAAAGACTCTAGATTGGACTTCAGACTTGACTCGACTTGAGACTACAACTTAAAGACTCCAGACTAGACACAGACTCAAGACTACAAATAAAGACTACAGACTTGTCTCGACTCAAGGCTACAACTTAAAGACTTCAAACCTGACTACAACTTAAAGACTCCAGACTAGATCTAGACTCAAGTCTCCAATTAAAGACTTCAGACTTGTCTCAACTCAAGACTCTAACTTAAAGACTTCAGGCTTGACTCAACTCAAAACTATGACTTAAAGACTTCAGACTAGACTCAACTCAAAACTCGGAACGTAAGGACTCCAGACTAGACTTAGACTCAAGTCTTCAACTTAAAGACTAAAGACAAGACTCAGACTCAAGGCTCCAACTTAAAGACTCCAGACTAGACTCAGACTCAAGGCTCCAACTTAAAAACTTCAGACTAGACTCAACTCAAACTTAAAGACTTTAGATTTGACTTGGACTCAATTTAAAGACTTTACATTTGACTCAACTCATGGCCCTAAAGACTTTAGACTCGACTCAGACTCAATACTCCAACTAAAAGACTGCAGCATAAAATTAATGATAAAGACTTCATATTATATAACTCTAG